CCGGCCGCTCAAGCCGCCTTAACAGTTGGTAGCCACTCCAAACATGTGGATCAGTGTCAATAAAGATGCACATTGAGGGCGGACATCCGGTTCCCAGTGGCAGGACCCCTGCTGCGACGTTTTGCCTATAGCCTAACCCTCCTTGTCTCAGCCGCAAGCCGAGGCCCTGGGCCGTTGAGCGTGGCACGCCATGCTTCTTTGCTTGAGTTTTGGGTGCCTGGGCATGCAGACTTTCTTCACGAGACCATGAGAGGAAGAGGATGATGGCAAATGATAAGCGTCGAGTCTAGAAGCTCCGGACGCGGCAGTCAAATGTCGTCACAGCATTCTTCTCCATGTTCGTACGACCACACTCAAGCCCCTGCACACCCTGTGGATGGAACCAGCAAAGCCAAAGCCTGCAGAAGCTTAAAGGACACATAATTAGAGGTATTGCCACCGAATAGTTAAAAGACCTAGCACTCTCCTTCCGGAATGTAGCAGCCTGGTGGGGCATCAGGAAGAAGGGCGCCAACAGAATCCTCAGGCGAAATGAGCACCTTTCAGTGCTTGATGATGCTGCTAGCGCCTTCCTTCAAGGCAGGGAGGTTCGCACGAACATCAACATTTGCCTGCCCACCGCCACCTCAACACTGCCCGAGAGCAACCTGATGTATTGAGGATAGCATGAGCAGAAAATTCGCACTTTAGGACAGGGCTTGTCCAATCTTGTTAGATCAGCCCGAGCCCATTCCGCTGCCAAAGAATTATGGAGTTTGGACTGGAGTAAGTAATGGGGGAATGCGCAGAAATTCATCAAGCTTTAACACCAGAGTGTTGCTGCGCGCCGCCATGCGACCAGGCTGAATGCTTCTTGATTTTTTGTGCTGAGGGCTGCCTTCAATTTTCAAAGTCTCCATCTCCCCAAGCATATGGAGCACAAGATGTTTTGCACGTGTACGGAGCGAGCCTGCACCGTAGCACACTCAGATGCGCATGACATCGTACGACCTGCAAGTTCAAAAGTAATGGCGTTTAGCAACGTAACTCCGTGCCTGTGGCAAGACAGGACATTACAAGGTGTCTACTCCGCAATGCCTGGCAAATCACGCGGGTCGCAATAGGCCCCAACTTTTTACCCTCACCCCGACTGATGGCAACGCAGGCAGTGCACCGCTTGATGTCAGTTGGTTCCACCGGCAGTTCAACTTATTTAATAATAGTTGCTAGTTGCGGATTGCACTCAGACAAGCGCATGGGCCAGACAAGAATGCCGAGAAAGAAAAAAGAAAGCGAGGGCTGGCAAAGCCAATCCCCTTGCTGCAACCAACTTTCAGCAACCCGTGCATTGCGGTGCGCTGCATCTTCAGGGTGCCAAGACATTCGCTGACCAGGCAATTGACCTAACAAGTTAAGCGTTTCGCAAGCCTTTGCTCAAATGTCTTGGATGCACTTGTACAGTGGAATTAGCTAGATTTGGAGAGGATCCTGAAGGCGCCAAACCTTTACTTGGCCACATATACAGACGGCTGAGACACTGCATTCAAATTCGAATTGGCAGGGCCCTAGAAGCAGGGTCTGCATGTGAGGTTGGTACAGCGACCTCGCGCCTCAGAGGCGGAATGCTTGCGAACTCTTCCACTAATAGAGGCACCAAAATTTGCAAGGAAAATTGTCAAGTCAGCACTTCTGCCGGCAGTCGTCCGCTGGATCCTACTCTCTGCATCCCGCACCAACAAATTTCATGGCTGCACAGTCGTGACTCAAGGATAGCATGCGTAATCTTGTGTAGCTTGGCTCAAGCACATTTGCAAGACAGCTCGCGCGAAGTTTGGGCGCAGATAGGTGCCCATGTGGGCTGTCACCCGGAACCTTGTCCAGGACACCAGCATGTTCTGCGGGGGCTCTGTCCGTTCTGCACCTGCCTACCTGTCCGGGGCAGGATCATCCGGGAGTCGAGGATTGCTTCGAGGATGCAGTAGACATACCCTTGCCTGAGGAGGACAACATTGGTCGCGATTTGGTAGTCAGATTTGCGTTTTGCTTTGCATCTGCAAATGCAGCTTGTTGCTGCTGTCTTCATGTTCAGGAGAAGCAGCCTGAAACGGCCGAACACCAGCTCGTTGTTAAGAGCACCTTCCTGGATGTGACAGATGGCTTCAGTGCTTTGGCTTGAAGGTTTAGCGCTTGGGCTTGTAGGCGCTATGGATTGTCAGCATTCTTGGCACATCCTGCCTTTGAATAGGCACATGCCAGGACCAGGAACAGATACCCTGAACACTCGCTTCATCGCAACGGCCAGGTTGGAGTGTCCTAAGGGAAGCAGGGGTTGTGAACTAGGTGGCCGCTATGCATTTGGGGCGTGTAAGTGGGATGGAGTTGATGAGTCCTCATTTAGGTGCCCGGCAGCGCTTCAGATCCCTGCGACGGGCACAAAGCGCCGCCTGGCACTAGCAAGACTTGGGCTCTTTTGCGGCTTTCGCGAGCCCACATCAGCAACATGCATGGTTATATGGTTGGTTGAGCTTGAAATACGCCTGTTAGCATCACGAACGTTATGACGGTTGCAGATATACAGAATGAAGGGGAAGCTACAGAAAAGAGCAACTACGAGTATGAGAGCACTTATCAACTCTGCCACCGCTATCGCCACCGCCACGGCCGTCCGCCAGAGCCTCTACCGCCTCCAGCAGCACCAGCACCAGCGGCAGCAGCAGCAGCAGCAGCAGCTGTTAAAACAATAGTACTGATAATAGCAATTGTAGTATAATAGTAATAATAGCAAGCATGTCAATACTCACAATCATCTGATGGCAGCTCCAAGGACCCCATACTCGAGGCTGAGGGCCCAGCGGCCTACGAGCCCGGGCAACTCGAGGAGCACAGCTTTGCGGTGAGTTCGGGATCCCCCTCTGATATTCCCCTATAAAATGTGTCCCATTACATAGACCACTTTTACTATAAGATGGGTCCCTGGACTTTTTTCGCCAATACTGAAGGGGGATGGTTCTGGCTTTCGGACTTTGCGGTAGGGTCTAGGGCAGCAGACTTGTCATCTGAAACGATGGTTTCTTGCGTGTCCTGTTTGGTGAAGACAGTCTCTGTGGGAGCATGCAGGGGTGCCCCCAATGGAAATCTGAGCACCTGAAAGCGGGATTCCTTGATAACGCGTGCCTCAATCGTTCAAGCTTCTGTGATATCATAGGGAGGCATTTGAACTTGGGCTCAGATGCTGTTTTCATGAGTGTGTTGTTGGATTTGCTTTCTCATTTCCAGAAAATCATCCTACTGATTTAAGTATGCTGCGGTCACCCCAGCTACACATTTGCAAGGCCGCACGCGGGTTTGAGAACAGGTGCCAGGTGATGCTGATGACGCCTGCGCGCGGGTCCAGCATCATCAGCTTCGTTGGGCCCCCGTTTGTCTCTTTGCATCGCATCCAGAAATAAAGACGCCCATACATTCATCTGTGAGTAGTATCTTATTTGGGGACACTATAGACCCCAATACAGAGTGAGATTATATCCTCTTTTGGGGTACAGTACCTTCAGAAGAAAAATCATCTTACCTGGTTCAACCACCAAAAACGCCACTCGTCCACAATCCCTACATAATCCTCACCCTTGAACCTTACAAGGGCTCCAAAAATCCCAAGACCTACCTGGACCCTGGATGTCCTTCCTTAGTGGGGTTCGGTCTTACATATTCACAGGGTGTGTCCCTAAAAAGGTAGGACATCCAGGGTCCAGGTAGGCTCTTGAAAATCCTACGACCTTTGCAGGAGGGGAAGAAGGAGGGCAGCGCTTCCCTCGACCTCGACGCGGGTCAAGGCCATGCCGAGGCTGGCAGGGGCTTTCTTACAGCATTATGATCTATTGTATAAAAACTCTTTAGGTATGTTATAGGATTTTTGTTTGTTTTGTTTGGGTTTTAATAGGCAATTTATCACCGAGATCACACACGGAGAAGACAACTAGACATAAGCTGCCGGAGAAAGATAGAGGTGAGTCGTGATAGATCGCGAGAGAATGACCAAGACAGAGACAAAGTGGAGACTGACAAAGAAGTGGCAGAAGATAGGCAGACAGACAACTGAAATTGACAGATGGGGCCGAACGCATAGAGCAAGTACTGCTCAGTACACCTAGACGAATTAAGATAGAAAAAGTGGCAACAAGCAAGGAACAGCGGCAAGCTGGGACCGCCAAGACAGAACAGAGCGGACTCGAATACACACAGAGATGAGCTCGCTCCACAACGAAACAAGCGAAACACGAACGACAAGGAGAGCAACCCGACCAGAATGGACAAAGTCGACCTATAAGAATCAAGCACATGGAAGGGAAGGCAAAGATGCGGGCTTACGTCGTAGACAGTTACTGACACAAGATAGCGAGACAGACGGCCACGGCCCAAAAGAGGCTTGAAAGGGATGGCTCCAGAGACTCTTGGGGGCCTCCGCATGGCATGCTACGGACGTTCATTCAATTGCAGTGTGGATTAAGTTGGGGTGGATTGGTATTTAGAATGCACTGCAAAACTGGTGTGACCGTTACAGCTTTCGGGTAAGAAATGCAGCGCTGATGAAAGGTCGCGCAAGATGTCGAAGCAAGCTCAAGGCACGCCCAACTCAGCTGGCTTTTCAGAAGGTCCGGCTCCATTGCAGCACTGCATAGTACTCGTAGTCAAGTTTCCTTGGAGATTGAGGTCGGAAAGGACTTAAAGGAGTTTGTTTCTCTGAGCAAAACGAGTTCCAACCCTCGACTTCCAATACATGGTTCTTCTCGGAAGATGTTGCCAGCTTCTTGAGCACGTGCATTTGGTTTGTTGTGGCACTGTTCACCTGGTGGCAGCACCTCGCCTGGCATAGGAGACTCACAATCCTGCAGCCAGGAGCGAAGACGAGCAGCACGCAGAGGACATCTACGCTGCTGAGCTGCAAATCCATCGATAGCGATGGTCCAAGCTGTTGAATGCAGGTAATCGTTCTCTCTTGTTTCCAGGATGAGCGGACAACGGTGATGTTGCGAAACCTGCCGAACAATTATTCCAGGCCAGTTCAAGGGGACCAGAGCCTTGGGTCGGTGGGCTGGACACCAGAGCATGTCAGAGTTTCACTCTGCTATGGCATATACATGCATATACTAGCTTGTGGTCCACTTGTGGTAGACAGCTGGCGCTCAAGCTGTCCCGTATCCCAAGCTCCCTGGTTTGGCCAGGGACAATCTTCTGCACATGCTGGACCGGAACGGAAGCTTGACAAAGTATTGCTCTCTTTGCTTGGTTTGCGTTTACCTTTTGTCTTGGATAGATAGTGTAAAGCAATAGCCACCTCTTGGACTTTTTTCCTTTTTGACAACGTCAATCTTGAAACCGTATCCCCTAGTCCCTAGTCTGTGATAGCATCAGCTTTCGCGCCTGAGGATTCAAGGACTTGTATGACTTCGTGTACCTGCCCTTTGACTTTGGCCGAAATGCCAATCTGGGCTACGCATTCGTCAACCTGGTCAGTCCTGCTGCTTGCCAGGGACACAGCCTGAGTACGCAGAGGACGCAGACGTCATAGCTAAGGTTGACGTGGCGAGATTCTGGCGGGTTTTCCAAGGCTACTCAAAGTGGACACTTCCTACTTCCAAGGCCAGGCTTGTGCAGACAAGATTGCCTACTGTGTCAAGCACACCCGAAAAAACGCTCCCACTCCAACTACCGTCTCCTATCTATGAGTCTATGAGGGAATGGCTTCAGGATCACACATGAGGATCTTTCGGCAGCCCATGCTGCGTGCAAGTTTTCCACAAGAGCATAGCAGGGGTTAGCACAAGGCCCATGCCAACACTTGTACTTCAGAGCCAGCAGCTTTCCGACCGTACTTCCGCAATTTTGGAAGTCGGCCCACATGCCTTGCCACATTGAGAAGGCAGAAGCAGGTCTGGCCTCCCAAGCCAATTTCCTCCTTTTGGTGTGCTCTTTCTGAAGGGCCTCTAAAAAAGGAAAAGGCTTCATGACACGACCCTCAAATGAGGTACCACGGTACCTCGCATGCTCTTGATGACCAGCCAGCCTTTGCCTTTGTCTCTCTGTGAGTACCTGACGTGTCGCCTAACTCTTCCTTCACCTTATGACATGCCTTGGCCCCCTGTAACCTCCAAAAACTGCTAGATGACGGTCAGCTCGCAAAGCGCATGCTGGGATTTAAGTATCAGCCCCACAAGAGGCAGATTTCAACAAAACAGTGCGCGTGCGGTTCGCATGAGGTTCCTGGAAGGTTGTCACATGTTGTCACAAGAGCGTCATGGAGAAGGAATATTGGACCCCCTCATGTCGAACCTAAGAGGCAGCCCCGCGTCCAGGTTTGTCAAGTCAGCTGGAGTGGGCCTCACCAGGGGTTCGAAGCGCACGTGGCCCGCTACCGCAACAGCCCCGTGATGCACAGGTGCCTTGCTGAGTTGTTCCTGCTGCTTGAACTACTGCACAATGGAAGCGAGCCGACTCAAAGATCCCTGCAGATTATGCAGTCCTTTGTTCGGCCAAATCCAGGCAAACGTGTCAACAAGTACGTGACCCACATTTTTCTCCTTGCGTTCGCGAAGTGCCTGCTTGTAGTGTACAGGGGAAATCAAGGGAAGACCGAAGACATTGTTGAAACGAATCAGGATGAGCTTGCTGGCCACCCTAGTTAGTGCAGCTACCACGCCATTTTATCAGCTCTCCGTGCTCCTAGACCCTAGGATGCAAGCTTCCACATACTCTCTCTCACAAGGGCGGCCGAAATTGGAAACAACCATCAGCCCAAAGGTCAGTTCCGGATGAGTTCAAGCCAGTCATCTTCAAGGATGGAGTTCGGCAAGAGTTCCCGCCCGCAACCAGGACTCGCTGAATGGGGGCATTTGCAGGTGGCGCTTGTTGGGAAGTTTTTGCAGTGCTGACAGGGTCAGATACTGTCAGGAGACTGAAGCCTCCTGGCCGGTTTGCGGGACGCTGAAGACGGGCACGAGGATAGAGCGCGTGGGTCGGCATCATTTTTGCATCGTTGCACAGCCGTGCCATCTGCACAGGAGCAAGTTCGGAGCGAGCACCTGACAGACCATTATAGACCGTTGCTTGAGCGGCCGGTGCGGCTGATTCATGCTAGTTCAAGACAAGCAGTCTGAGCAGACACAGATGCTTTCGGCAGAAGATGCGTGGAAGGAATCTGTTCAAACAAGTGGCCAACCGTATCAGTCATGAACAACTCTAGTATTCAATATTCACAGACTTATGGTAGCTAACACTCAAATGCCCAGTTCGGCCCACAGGACTGCTGCTTGATGTAATTAAGAGATGCTGAATTCGGCACATATTTAAGTAGACAGGATGACGATGGACAGCTGAGCTCGCCAATCCTACATTTCCACTATTCCGCGACCTCCATAGTGTTATAAGCAAGCTTGACAGGCAAGTCTACTGCATGTACCAGAAGCAAGATGGCGTGCGATCCAGCTGTCCTGCAAGCATAGGTTCATCTGCATGATGACAAATCCTTCATTCAATGTTGGCTTGGCTCTCCCGTCTTAATTGGTTTGATGATGTTTGATGGCTTTTTGGGGCCATGAAGGACTGACTGGCTGTAGAGTATCATCCCCTAACTCGAGGGGGCTAAGGCTTCGTACAGAGGGTTGAGGACATCTTCGTGCTCGATGCACGTCCGGGCTGTAGGTAGAAGTTCCCCTTGGTAGTGGATGTCGGGGATCACTACTGGGTTGCGTTTCTATGAAATCCATGCCCGAAGGTGCCAGAGAGCATCCAATCCACCATTGTCTGGGCAGGGGTTCTCGCAGACGCGGCTGACAGAAGGGCGCGTCGAAAGTTTGCCTTGAATCTGTTGCCACCGAAGGTTTGGTTACAACTTTATCACAAACTGTGCAAAGGATCCTGCCATGGAAAGGCAGCAACCTGAGTGCCCCCGCCCAAGGCTCACAAGGAGCTTTTAATTGCACAGCCAAGAGGCTTTGTTTTCAACCTGTCAGAGCTGCAGATCGGAAGGCACGGCCTCGGAGAGAATTTTCTCCCCGCCGAGTATCACCAAAAAGTGAAGCAACATGTTCGTGTCATCCATCGAGCAAGCTAACGCAGCCTGACAGTTCCAGATAGCCCTCAAGGCTTCTGGAGATTCGTGGTACTTAGATGAGCACAGAGTCGGACCATGCCCCCAGACTCAGCGGAGAAAGGCCCAAGAGAAGGCCGCGCGAGGTGTGCATCACCTGTGCCAGCACCGCACCCTGCGGCAATGACAGCCTGGGCACCAGGAAGCATCTCTAAACCATCTCTACACTCTGCAATAGCAATCCTATAAAAACATTCTCACCCTGGAGCACGCGTCTGACAAGAGTTCGACCTTCCGCGAAGACTCGGGTGGCTCGCTCCGACTGACCGCATGGAGACTGGACATAAATTCGCTGATTTTTCCCGTTCCCTCAACAGCTGCAGCGTGATAATGAGTGCTGGCGAGATCCTGCTGCGGAGCCACCACTGATGCCATATGTGAAGTAGCCCAGGGGCATCCACCATCAACTCTACAGGTTTTGCTTGCATTGCCTGCTTCCAGACTTCATGACCACGGCCTAGACAAATGAATAGAGACACGCCCAAGCAATTCGAAATGTTTAATGTCCCGGAATGGTCATTATGCATGTACTTCTTATGCTATGCTTTGCATTCGTACAAAAAACCAGTGGAACTGAGTAGTTTCCATATTCTTTTCCATTACCCTAGTGGAACCTGGATTCTGCAGCAGGTTTGGCCCTCTGAAAAAAGAAGTGAGGAGTGGTTGGTGCAGGCTCAGGCTCCGCGAAAAAAATGAAAAGAAAGCCCATTACATCTGAGCTATCGTCTAAACTCCTTTAAGGCGGGTACATAAGGAATATTAGGGGGTTATATAGGGGATTATATAGGGGACTACTAAGGGGGATACTAGAAGTTTGGCTCCACCTGCGCCAAGTGCCCGGGCTCCACGGGCACTCGCCCATAACGCCGTTCGTGTTCCCAGAGCAGACGTTGACAAGAGCATCCATGCCCAAACCATAATCCCGTCCGTGTTCCCAGAGCATACGCTGACCAGAGCATCCATGCCCAAA